CCCTAAACCCTAAACACCAAAAAAGGCCCGTAAACCCCTAAACCCCTAAACCCCCCCCCAAAAACCGTAAACCCCTAAACCCCTAAACCCCTAAACCCTAAACCCCTAAACCCCCAAAAACCCGTAAACCCGTAAACCCCTAACCCCTAAACCGCAAAAACCCGTAAACCCCTAAACCCCTAAACCCTAAACCCCTTAAACCCCCAAAAACCCCTAAAGCCCTAAACTCCTAAACCCCCAAAACCCCAAACAAAACCCGTAAACCCCTAAACCCCTAAACCCTAAACCCTAAACCCCTAAACCCCCAAAAACCCGTAAACCCCTAAACCCCTAAACTCCTAAACCCCAAAAGCCCTCAGCCTCCCGTGACTCTCCGTGAGCCCGGCAGGTCCGACATGGCAAAAGTCGTCGAGGCGGGGCTGGGCGTCATCGCCGCACGAGTGGAAAGCGTAGAAAGGCTAGGGTTGTCTAGGGTTCTAGGGGTTTAGGGATTGAGGGGTTCAGGGTTTTATAGGGTTTAGGGATTTAGGGTTTAGGGGTTTAGGGATTTAGGGTTTAGGGATTTAGGGTTTAGGGGTTTAGGGATTTAGGGTTTAGGGTTTTAAGGGATTTAGGGGTTTAGGGTTTAGGGGTTCAGGGATTTAGGGTTAGGACTTTAGGGTTTGGGGATTCAGGGTTCTAGGGGTTTAGGGATTCAGGGTTTAGGGTTTAAGGTTTTAGGGTTTGGGGATTCAGGGATTAGGGATTCAGGGTTCTAGGGGTTCAGGGTTTAGGGTTTAGGGGTTCAGGGTGTTTAGGGTTTAGGGTTTCGAATAAGAAGAGGAGTGCAGTTCAACTGAAGCGTGTGATTCTTTATGGGTTGACCGCCCTAAACCCTAAACCCTAAACCCTAAACCCTAAACCCTAAACCCTAAACCCTAAACCCTAAACCCAATAACAAGTGAAATCATCAGCATGCTTGGGCCCTCGACGTTCTCAGCCCTATGGTCCCTGTATTCGTAGTTCTTGTCTTCCCAAGTGACTACCCAGGGGCTCCAATGTAGTTCCTTTTTGGCTCTGTTATGGTTTTTTAGTAAGGAGTTATAGTATACTATCCTAAAAGGAACTACNNAACTACATAGGAGCCCTTGGGTACTGCACCGAGTCTCCCACATTCCAATTCCCTGCAAGTGAGAGGGTATGTCCGTGATGCGCACTGCACTCTTCCGAAGCAGGATATCGAGAAGAAGTGGCGAAAGGACTTGCTCCTGCGAAGTGTTTGTTCAGCCTTCAAGGCTTTCAACATAAGTTCGATTGTGCTAAAGGAAACCT